ACCTGGGTACAGTCTCAGATCCTAAACCTGGGTACAGTCTCAGATCCTAGACCTGGATAGTCTTGGATCCTAAGGGGTTGGCTGCTCCAATCGGGCCCATGACAACGAGGATTCTGTTTGTGACCTGGTACTGGAAGACCGACATTATACAGAGCATGCTCCTGTTTTTGAACTGCAGAGATTATGAATACAAAATATAATATTTTTAAAAAATCTGTTAAATTATTTTGAAGTTGATTGGAAAAAGTTTTGAATAACTTTAAAGGCAGAATCTGAAAAAGTTAAATCTGGTCCTCTGGACATTCAAAAAAACAAAACAAAGCAAAACAACAAAAAAAAATGTAGAAACGTTTAGAATACAGCACCTCAGACTGAGGAAGTCTCTCGGATGAGAGACAAAACCTTTCTATATTTTTTTGTTGTTTTTCTTTGTTTTGTTTTTTTGAATGTCCAGAGGACCAGATTTAACTTTTTTAGATTTTTCTACCTGGATTATTGAGCAGCATCAGGATATTTAAAGGCAGAAACTACACTGGTCTCCATTTCTTGTTGAAGAGTGTTTTTGATCTGGTATTTATTCTGTAGCACACTATGATAAGCTGCATGTAGAAATCATTTTGATTATAAAAGACATAAAATCACCCACAGTTCTCATACTGTGTTAAATTTCAACTGTTTTGAATTTCTAATTATAGCTTTTACTTTGAACTTCATCAGTCTCCTCGTGGAGGAGGAACCATACAACAACGTGCATGTTTATGTTTTGTACATGTCAATAAAACACTAAACTGGTAAGTTGCCAAAGAACAATCACTACACCTTGGTTTTATTTTTGTGCAGCAGCAGAGGTGACATTACAATGAAACTGTTTCTCAGTATTGCACATTAAACAGAGTGCTGCCTTCATTATAAAATAAAACAGTTCACCAAGTTTCACCTTTTTTATTTCAGTATACTGAAATAAAAAAGGTGAAACTTGGTGAACTGTTTTATTCAAACTAAAGGTAAACAAACGTGTAAACAAACACGTACATTTAGGAATTCATGACAGAACAGTGTTTTCACAACCACACCAAATGTACTTGAAAAGCATATTTATTTATAGAAAGGACATTATCACTAAAGATCAGCGATGTTTACTGTAGCAACGATTAGTTCCCACCTGCCTGAAGACTGCCACCATCATTGCAGTCCCAAAAAGCTCTACAGTGACTGGTCTGAATGACTATCGGCCAGTGGCCCTCACCCAGATAGTCGCTAAATGCTTTGAAAAACTGGTCATGACTCGCATCAAAACAACCATCAACATCAACGAGGACCCTCATCAGTATGCATACTGTGAGAACCGATCAACAGAGGATGCAATCTCCTCTGTGGTCCACACTGTGCTCAACCACCTGGAGCAGAAAAACTCTTACGTCCGTATGCTCTTTGTGGACTTCACATCTGTCTTCAACACCATGATCCCCCAAACCCTGATAGACAAACTATCCACACTAGGACTAAGCCCCTCCATCTGCAACTGGGTACTAGACTTTTTAACAAACAGACCACAGTTAGTGAGGATCCACAACCTCTCCTCCTCTACCATAACCCTCAGCACTGGCTCTCCTCAGGGATGTGTGTTGAGCCCCCTCCTGTTTACTCTGCTCACATATGATTGTGCAGCTACCCATCCAGGCTGTCACACTGTAAAGTTTGCAGATGATACAGCGGTGGTGGGATGCATCACAAACAATGATGAGTCCAGCTACAGGCAAGAGGTGGAACACCTGGAGAGCTGGTGCAAAGAGAATAACCTTCACATCAATGTGAAGAAGACAAAGGAGATGATTGTGGACTTCAGAAGGAACAAAAACATCTACACCCCCCTGAACATAAGAGGATCTGCGGTGGAAGTGGTCTCCAGCTACAAGTACTTGGGTGTACACATGAATGACAACCTCAGCTGGAGCAACAACACCACCAGCCTGATGAAGAAAGCTCATCAGAGACTCTACTTCCTCAGACGGCTGAGGCGAGCTGGTCTGGAAGCTCAGTCCTCACCTCCTTCTACAGGTGTGCAGTGGAGAGCATCCTGTGCTCCAGCATCAACGTGTGGCATGGAGGCTGCACAGCTGCAGAAAGAAAAGCTTTGCAGAGAGTGGTGAAGGCTGCACAGAAGATGTTGGAGTCAGCCTCCCCACCATCACAGACATCTACACCTCCAGATGCAGGAAGAGGGCCACCTGCATCATGAAGGACCCCACTCACCCAGCACACACACTTTTTGC